GGCCCGGGTCCGGCGCCCGCCCCCGGCGCGGCCCTCGCGGCTGCCCCCGCTGCTCGTGCTGCTGGCGGCGGCGGCGGGGCCAGGCGCGGGTGGCGCGGCGCGGCTGTACCGCGCGGGCGAGGACGCCGTGTGGGTGCTGGACAGCGGCAGCGTGCGCGGGGCCACGGCCAACAGCTCCGCCGCGTGGCTCGTGCAGTTCTACTCCTCGTGGTGCGGCCACTGCATCGGCTACGCGCCCACCTGGCGGGCCCTGGCCGGGGACGTGCGAGGTGAGGCGCGCCCCCGCGCGGGACTCGACCCCGGCCGCTCGGCCTGGCACCTGCGACCCCAGGATTCTCCCCTCCGGCTCGCGGCAGCCTCTCAGGCCCCTTTCCCGTTGCCCTTACGGGGGCACCTCGCATAGGCCGCCGCTGGCCCGCACCCCGGGCTATATCTCCCATCTGACCGGTGAGATCCTGGGAAGTCGGTCGTGTCAAGTCAGAGTGACAAGAACCCTTTTCCTCCAGCCCTCACTCCACAGCTGGGGACAGGGAGGCCACCCCATTATCGCCTAGCTCTCCAGACCCCTAGTTTTGAGCCCCTAAGACCTGCTTTAACGCCCCAGGCCTTTATCCTAGCTGTGTCCCGACGTGCACGCCATCCTCAGTAATTCCACTCCAGTGCCTAGACTCCTCGTCCTTTGAGGATCCCCATTCCTCTTCCAAAAGCCACTTTCCCTGTAAGTCCTTCATCCTCTCTAGGTTCGGTTAGCTGAGCGTATGGTGGATGATCAGTGTCCACAACATAGATGTCCAACTACGCTGGAGACTTCTCTATAGAAGCAGAAAAAGGCCTTCAGAGCATTTCAGTGGTTGGTTCCTTGTTCGTGGACGTGCAGCCTTGGATAAATCTGTCACCCACCAAACTTCTGGTCACGTTCCCACAGTTTATTGATGTTGGGCACCTTTGTCATGTTGCAAATTGCTAATCAGTCACTAAGCTATTGGCCTGCTCTAAGTGGCAGAGTTGTAGGCAGTTAGGCGTTTTGCTGCAGCTTCCCTGCAAGCTGGCCACGCTTCAGAACGGAATGCGAATTGCTCTGAAGTGGGAGCTGGTCTCCAGCAAGAGCTAGGTTTGGCAGGACTCTTGCTGAGGTTGAGCTGACCTCTAATTATGTATTTCAGTGGGCAAGAGAGTAACAAATTGCTAGGTTCTCTTCCTGCACTTTAGTTTTACATCCAACCCTGTTGTGATTTTTTCATATCTAGACAGACTCATAAGGAAACTTTAAAAAAGTCTAAATAGGGCTTTTGTGCATGATTGTAAATGATTATTTTTACATGCGTCTCCTTTTGCCTTAGGGTGTTGGGGCCTGTTGATTCTAAAGGGTCTGTTCTTTGATCTAATGTTTTCTTGAGTCCCTGGTGTTTGGCACTGGTCAGAACTGAAATCAGAGACTATGAAACGGACATTTTACTCCTTAGTAGGTTTTTTTTTTTAAGCCTTTGCTTTGACACCAAACAGAGGACTTTGCAATTCTCTTTTGTCATTGGGCGGCGGAAACACAGATAGGTAAATTAAAATGTGGGTAGCTCTTGGAAGACGTTTGTCACCTATTCTGTGCATATTTTGATTTTTTCAGTTTAGTGTCTGAAATATAAATGTTATAAACCAGCTTTGAGTGTCACAAACTATTTCATAGTTTAACCAGCATGTGAGGAGTCTTGAAAATTGTCCCTGGAACTCAGACGGAAAGTTATTTTTGGAACCCAAACTAGTAAAACCCATACCTAATGGTGTGATTAACTTAACTGTTAGCTAAATAAGGTTATCTTAAATGAGTTGGACATCCTACAAGTCAAAGCAGGAAGAGCAGGCCTGAGACAGAAGGAGATGTGGCTGAGTGAAAAACAGCTGTGGCTCGAAAGACAGGGCAGGCAGGGGCAAGGTGAGGGGAGCGGTGGCCAGGGGGCCCTGAGAACCAAACTGCCCGGGGGGCTCCCGAGCACCAGCTCTAACCGGAGGCAGAGCCTTGGCACTTGGCGTCCCCAGAGAGAGCTCACCTGGGGACTTTGTCGGCCCAGCCCAGCCCTGCTGGATCAGAACCTCTGGGCGAGAGGCCTGGCGTCCTGTCAGCACAAGCCCCAGAGATGGAGGATTTCTGTGCTCAGGGACACTAACCCTGCAGGACAACTGCAGGGGTGGGCCTATGGCCAAAGGGGCGGAAGCGTGGCTTATGCAATACCCCCTCGTGGCTGTCCACACACGGGAACTCCCCAGTAAAGGAACCCGTTACTTGGCCCTGGGGTCCCATGTGACTGGCCACAGGGCCCTTCCGGTGCCTCATTTCCGCGAAGTCCCCGTGGAACGCGTTGGGAAGAACCGCCCTCACCCTCACTGAGGAGGCTGGCGCAGCCCCTCTGCCCAGCGCTGCCTTCTGGCCGCGGGCCATCACGCAGGGGAGGGGGCGCCCAGCGCCCACGGGGGCCAGTCTGAGCGCAGTCATCACCCCCGCTGTCACTGCTTTGGGCCGGCTCAGTCACTTGTGAATTGGAGTGTCCAGTGAGTCCCCGGGGCACACAGGCCTTGGACTAGGCCCGTCAGGTGCCTCTTCCCACCCCTCTTGAAATGCAGTGTCCAGCCAGCTTGCCCCATCTGCCCCCCACCCCGGTCTCGACGGCAGTGTGCCTTCTAGAAGGTGGGTGGTTACAGTACAGCCTCTGCTCCCTGGCTTGAGATTGCTGGGGGGGGGGGGGGGCA